AAGCGATTCTCCTGCCTCAGATCTCCCCAGTAGCTGGGTCTACAGATGCAAGCCACCAGGCCTGGCTAATTTTTGTAATTTTAGTAGAGATGGGGTTTCACCATGTTGGCCAGGCTGGTCTTGAACAGGTGATCCACCCGCCTCAGCCTCCCGAATTGTTCGGATTACAAGTGTGAGCCACCATGTCCGGCTGACCCTGTCTCTTAAAAAAGAAACTGAGACCTCTGACTTTTAACCAATTACCCAAGTCTGCCAAAGTACTCATCTGTAAAGGAAACCAGCCTTGTAAGGTTCCTTTCAACTCCAGAATTGAGGAGTGGGTTTGGGGGCAGTTGGAGGGGGGTGCTGGTGAGCAGATGACAGGAGAAGGAGAACCTCCAGTTGAGCCCCCACGATGTGTCAGGCCAGGAACCCAGGGATCTCACCAGAGCCCTCTGTGGAGGTCAGCATCCTTGTTTCACAGATGAAACAATGACGCCCTAGTCGGAGGATGGTGACACCAGGATCTAACCCAGTCTTCCCAGGCTACCCCCTGCAACTGGAAGCCCCCCAAGATCGGACAGACATATTCTTTCAGGAAACACCACCACTCTGGTTTATTTCAGCTGCAGGTCTGATCTCCCTAACAGAGGTACACCTGAAAAATACCGCCTTAGCCGCTGAGTTTTGATAGAGCAATTCTATATTCCTGGTAACTTCCACTGTAATTAATTGTCAATTGATTTCTCCGTCACTTACATGTGAGTGTGAAGGCGCTGCCTTCTCTGTCAGGAAGTGAACTATCTATTGACAAATGAGTCAAAGCCCTGGGCGGCTGTTACTTATTCATGAAGGAGGGTGTTGGCGCGTTTGGGTTTCCCCTCACCTGTCCAGCACGCCCTGGAAGACGGGAGTACAGAGTCCTGGGGAGAAAGTGGTTTCCTGCCTCTCCCTGGGCTCGTATTTGAACCGTACTTTCTTTCTCTCTCTCTCAGCAGACTAGGCTCCTCTCAGCAGATTTCCAGCCTAGGTTTGGGTGGCTCTTGCCAAACCTTTTAACCCATATTCTACAGCGATAACCCAAGTTATAAGTAAACTATTCAATTAAGCTATCTAGTTAATTAAATAATTAGTAGTCACTTGTGGATAATATTTCTTTTTCTGGACAGGACTGGGCATAGGAATGAGTTCCATTTTTTATCAGTTTTCCTTGAGGATAACTATATATTTCGTACACATGTAATTCTATGTATTACTGGGATAACTTTTTTTTTTTTTTTTTGAGATGGAGTCTTGCTCTGTCACCCAGGCTGGAGTGCAATGGCATGATCTCGGCTCACCGCAACCTCTGCCTCCTGGGTTCAAGCAATTCTTGTGCCTCAGCCTCCTGAGTAGCTGGGATTACAGGTGCACACCACCACGCCTGGCTAATTTTTGTATTTTTAGTAGAGACGGGGTTTCACCATGTTGACTGGGCTGGTCTCAAACTCCTGGCTTCATGTGATCCTCCCACCTCTGCCTCCCAAAGTGCTGAAATTACAGGCATGAGCCACCTCGCTCAGTCAACTTTTTTAAAAAAAAGGAAGGATGGGCCGGGCGCGGTGGCTCAAGCCTGTAATCCCAGCACTTTGGGAGGCCGAGACGGGCGGATCACGAGGTCAGGAGATCGAGACCATCCTGGCTAACACAGTGAAACCCCGTCTCTACTAAAAAATACAAAAAACTAGCTGGGCGCGGTGGCGGGCGCCTGTAGTCCCAGCTACTCAGGAGGCTGAGGCAGGAGAATGGCGTGAACCCGAGAGGCGGAGCTTGCAGTGAGCTGAGATCCGGCCACTGCACTCCAGCCTGGGCGGCAGAGCGAGACTCCGTCTCAAAAAAAAAAAAAAAAAAAAAAGGAAGGATGACTGAGCACGGTGGCTCATGCCTGTAATCCCAGCACCTTAGGAGGCTAAAGCGGGAGGATGGCTTGAGCCCAGGATTTCGAGACCAGTATAAGCAACACAGGGAGACCCCGTCTCTACAAAAAAATAGAAAAATTAGCCAGGTGTGGTGGCACATGTCTGTAGTCCAAACTATTCAGGAGACTGAGGCAGGAGGATCCATTGAGCCTGTGGGGCGGAGGCTGCAGTGAGCTATGATCATGCCACTGCACTCCAGCCTGGGTGAGAGAGGGAGACCCTGCCTCAAAAACAAAAGGAAGTTAAGGGTTGTAAACCGCCCGGGAAGACTCTCTGGGTCACAGAGAGTGGGTTTAGGATCTGGGGGACGTTCTCTGGCTAGTTGGTCAGGGTGCTGGCCTCGCTGCTCATCAAGGCTTCTTCATGTCTCTAAATCTCAGATTCTTTATTTGAAAACCAGGCAGATGAGCTCATAGAACTGCTATGTGGATTCCCCCTCCCAGTGCCAGTGTGGCAGAGTCCTGGCAAGATAGAATCTACCTAGAACTGCTCAGAAATGCAGCATCTCATGACCCACACCAGCCAGATGAATCAGTCTGCATTTTAACAAGATCCAGGTGACTGGTGCTGATGTGAAAGTTTGAGAGGCCAGGCTAAATAACATGTTTACAACACCTGGCAGAAAGTGGGCATGGATGGGCGTCAGCTGCCCTCCTCCTCTCCCCCGAGCATCCTCAGACACCATCCCAATGAGATCTTTTGCTTGGGAGGGAGAGATGTGGGTTGGATGATGGTGGTGACTTGCATTCTCATGGTGCAGTATATATTTTGTCTCCTTGCAATCACTGATGGGGGCCAGACTACAAAGCGTGGCCCCTAGGAGTCCAGCGTAGGGTCCTAAGGTTACAGGGTGAACCCAAGGGGACCAGGGCCACGTGTGCATGTACCCACAGCTTCTTCCAACAAGCCACCACCACCCGTGGATGTGGTCACTCCCTCTGGTGGGGCAAGGGGGCAAGAGGGCAGCTGGACCTCTGGTCCTATAAGGGTTTCCTGGATGAAATGTAAAAAGCCCCTTAGGGGCTAGTGTCCTCAGTGTGATACTGAATGTGATGGTTTAATAGCTTTCATGACACACCCATTTCGGAAGCACCCATCCTGTGCTGGGCACTGTGGATTCAACACAGACCACATGGACCCATGGCAGGAAGGTCGTTAGAGTTAGAATGGGCAGAGTAGTAGCACATGGGGACAAGGGCTGAACCCAGGTCAGCGCAGGGTGTTGGGAAGACCACCCTAGAAAGGAAGTGGGGCCGGGCGCGGTGGTTCACGCCTGTAATCCCAGCACTTTGGAAGGCCGAGGCAGGCCAATCACTTGAGGTCAGGAGTTCGAGACCACCCTACCCTGGTCAACATGGCGAAACCCTGTCTCTACTAAAAATACAAAAATTAGCCAGGTATGGTGGTGCATCCCTGTAGTCCCAGCTACTCAGGAGGCTGAGGCAGGAGAATCGCTTTAACCGGGGAGGTAGAGGTTGCAGTGAGCTGAGATAGTGCCACTGCACTCCAGCCTGGGCAACAGAGAGAGACCCTATCTAAAAAAATAAATAAAATAAATCAAGAAAAAGGAAGGAAGTGGGGCCTAGGGCGGAGAGGCTCAGGGCAAGGCACCTGCCTGGAGGGCACTGGGGGAGGGCACCGGATGGCCTTAGCCTCTGGTCATTCTCAGCGACCTGGCACTAGGGAATGTTCCTGGCCTAAGAAAGGACCTGAGTCTGGCCAAAAAGGGGAGAGAGCTGGGCGCGGCTTGGGAGGAAGGTGGGGCGCTGGGGAGGGAGGGGAGCCCTGCCCTGGTGTGCCCTCTGTCCCGCGCCACACACCCTGCCGGGAAGCCCGGGGCCGCAGCTGCTCGGGCGGCCCGGCCCAGAATAGCCTCCCTTCCGGGCAGGGCTGCCCCGGCCCGCAGCGCCAGCGCCTGAAATAGGGCTCGGCCGGGCGGCGGGCGCCAGGGGCCGCCCCAGTTGCAGGACTCGCCGGGGAGCCGGGGCCCGCGTGCGTGGACCGGGAGGGGCTGCGGGGTGCAGGCCGGGCCCTGGGACGCGGGGACCCGGGTGGGCGGGTCCGCAGGCGGGGTGGGGGCGGGGCGCGGGGCCGGGGCCGGGATCCCGGGCACTGGGCCAGCCCGAGGCGGGTGGAGCCGGGCGCTGACCTCACAGCCCGCGAGGAAGCCCGTCGGGGCCGGCGGGGCTGATGGAAGGCCTGAGGAATTCGCAGCTGGCGGCGCGGCCGGGCGCATTCCCTTCCCCTCTCTGCGTTGCCCGGCGAGGGAGCCGCAGCTTCGCGGTTGTCATGGCCACGGGCCGGGCGTGGGGCTGGGGGACCAGGGGCCACTGAGCCTCGATCACCTTGTCCTGCCCAAGCCAGGTTGGCATGGACTGGAAGAATCCCGGGGCGGTGGGCGGGAGGGGCCGGGGCCAGGGGAGGCCCCGAGGGACCCGGCCGCCCGGCCTGCGCCCGGATCCCGCAGGGTCCTGTGAAAATGCGGTATCTGCCTCCCCACCTCCTGCGCTCACACATGCAGGCCTGGGGCCTGCGGGTCCCGGGGCTCTGAGCCTCTCAGGCCCATGGGCCGCACTGTTGGCCTAGGTGGACACGGAGGCTGAGGGGGAGTTTTCAAGGGGCCTGGCCTCACGCTCTGCCAGTCACAGCCGCCACCCCTCACCGGCCCTCCACCCACCCCTAACCTCCTTAACCTCTCCCGGCCTCGGTTTCCTCACCTATTAACCAGGGATTAGTCATAGCTACTATCCAGGCTTGTTATATTAGAATAATTATGTAATGTGCCGTGTGTACTCCAAACGTGGTCCTCTTTTCCTGTCCCACACCTCCTTCCTCCTGCATCAGGCCTGGGGACGGGGGCGTGCCCATGTCACCCCTAGCCCCCAGGCCTAGAGTCCTGGACACATGAACACTCCTGCCAGAGCTCCCCTCCCCGCGCTTGGGGTTACCTTGAACCCCGCCTCCTACAAGAGGACGGTCGGGCCTATTGTCGGAACCTGCAGGAATCCCAGGCAGCCACCCAAGAATATTAGCAGAGGCCCAGCCTGGCTGGGGTGAGTCAGCCTCTCCTCCCGAATTCAGTTGTGGCTTCAGCTGCCCTGCACAGCTGGGGCTGCGAAGTTGCCAGCAAGAAGCAGCCCCTGAAAATCTCTGGGAAGACCAGTGTGCCCTTGGGGTGGGATTCAGAGCACAGTGGGATGGGGGAGGGTTGAGAAGGGGGTCTTGATCCCCCTTCTCTTCCTCTAGGGGAGCCGAGGCTTGGGACTGGGGAGCAGCCGTACCCCATGTGAGGAAGGGCGGGCCTGACTTACTGTAACTTCCTGGCCCAAAGCCCGATTGTCCTGTGGTTGGGCTGCCCGGCCAGAGAGGCCCCTGGTGTAGGGAGGACTCAGGGAGAACTTGCCTCCCATTGCCAGGGCCCACTGTGTGCATACTGGGGGGCAGAGGGGCTGTGCTGCCGTTGATTTCCTGAGACAGCTAGTAGACCAGATGAGGCTGCCTGGAAGGTGGCTCCTCTTCCCTTAGCAGGTTGAGCCACTACCTAAATGCCAGGTTATTTACAAGAAAAAAAAAAAAAAAGGGGGGGGCTCAGCCCCTTTTGGAGGGCATCAGAGCAGACAGTGTTGACTGAGCACTCACTATGTACTACGCCATGTGGACATTTGCTCAATGAACTGTCACAACCACCTAAGAAAACGGGAGCTGTTGTTACCCCCATTGTACAGATGGGAAGCCAATTTAGAGTCCTGGGATGCAAACTGGGTTTCCCCCCGGCTCCCGATCCCCACTCCATCTGGCCTATGAGCGTGGGAACCAGTGTGGCCCGGAAGAGTGGCAGATGGCCCAGCTGACTGCCCAGGTGCCCCCACCCCCCGACCACATGGGCACGCGGCTTGCTCGGTACTCAGCTGACTTCCTGTCCCTGGAAGAGCAGCTGCCGGTATGCTGGGGCAGGGCGGTCCCCTTCCTGTGGTTCAGGTAAGGGCATAACCCCATGCCTTCTTGGCATCCTCCCTTTCTCCTTTCTCAGGCTCTGCAAGTCAGACCCGGGTGCCCCAGAAAGTTGCTTTGGGAAGGATGTTTGCCTGCTGCCCAGAGCTGGGACTGCAGGCCCTGATAGGCGAGGGCTTGGGGAGTAGCTGAGAACCTTCCCTTCAGCTACCGAAGAGCAGACAGGGCTTTCTGTATCATGCTGCCTGATGATGGTGAGGGTGCAGTGACCAAGAGTGCAGGTGAAAGATCCAGCTCTCCAACCAGGTGGATGGATTTGAAAGGAATTTCTAGCTGGGCACGGTGGCTCACACCTGTAATCCCAGCACTTTGGGAGGCTGAGGTGGGCGGACCACCTGAGGTTGGGAGTTCAAGACCACCCTGACCAACATGGAGAAACCCCGTCTCTCCTAAAAATACAAAATTAGCTGGGCATGGTGGCGCACACCTGTAATCCCAGCTACTCGGGAGGCTGAGGCAGGAGAATTGCTTGAACCCGGGCGGTAGAGGTTGCAGTGAGCCAAGATCGTGCCACTGCACTCCAGCCTGGGCAACAAGAGTTAAACTCTATCTCAAAAAAAAAGAAGAAAGAAAGAAAGGAGCTTCTGAGAGATGGCGTCTCACCTCCCTATCAGATACTCCAGGGCTTTGGAAAGAGCTGGCTGGCTGCTGGGCATCACCTCAACTTTCCCCTAGATGACATTGCCAAGGAACTGTGGCACTGTCCCTACTTCCCACGCCCAGCTCCATAGCTCCACCTCCCACCCCCCTTGCCTATAGAAGCTCAAAATAAGCTTTCTAGAGGATGATGTTTCTTGTATGAGGGGTCATCTGAGGTTGCAAAGACTGAAGCTCTTCACCAGAGAAATGCAGGAAGCATCCCGCAGCTAAGTGAGGCAATGTCTGGGGCGCGCCAGGCCACGCCAGGTAGCTCAGAGAGGAGAGACACCCCTGGCTATGCAGCCTGCCTCTGAGCCCTGCTGGTGGCCAGGCCATCTGCTGGACTCCATCCCTGGGCATCTTTCCAGCCTGTCTTCGGTGCTCAGAGCATAAAGTGGCATTTCACTTGTCCCTCTACCTAAGAGCAAGGAAGTAGACCTCTCTTAGGCTTTTCTTGGAAGATGCAAGGAAAGAAAGAATGTTCTCAATGTGAGATCCTACAGGACCACTGTATTGGGTCGAATAGCGTCCCCCCACCAAATTCATGTCTGCATGGAACCTACAAATGTGACTTTATTTGGAAATAGGGTCTTTGCAGATGTAATTAAGATATACTCCACAGGTCTGGGGAGATCAAGGCCAACAGCATGCTGTATTAGGATGGTCCCAGTCCAACAACTGATGCCCTTATACGAGGGAAGTCTGGCCACAGACACACAGAGGAGGCCACGCGGTGGTGGAGCCAGAGATGTGTCTACAAACCAAGGAGCGAGCAGGTCCGCCGGCCACCACCAGAAGCTGGCAGGGGTGAGGAAGTCATTTTTCCGTGGGGGCTTCAGAGGGAGCATGGTCCCAGTACACCTTGAGTGTTGGCCTCCTGGCCTCCAGAGCTGTGAGAAAATCCATGTCTGTTGTTTGAAGCTGCTGAGTTTGTGGCATTTTGTTATGGCTGTCCCAGGAAAGAAATACAATCACCAAATGTCAAACACAGGGCAGCTGGGAAAAACAAGAAGGAAATGCATGAGGCACGTAAAGAAAAGACTTGGAAGAGACCAAGGAGGGACAGGAAGGAACGCTTCCTCAACTTCCTCCTCGCACCCTGACAGGAAGCCAGAGATCTAGTGGCTGAGCCTTGGAAGAAGTGGCTACTTTCCCCCACGCAAGAGCGGGTGAGCTTGGATGTCGGATGAATGAGAAGTGTCTGAATCTTGCTAGGTCCTAGGGAGACCCTGTTAATAATAACAAACTCACGATATGGTCTTGTCTCATCCTCACCACAGTGCCTAAAGCAGGTTTTATTGAAATCCCCATGTATAGATTAGGAACAAGGCAGGGCGGTTGGGTGCCTGCCCAGGGTCGCATGCCAGCAGCAGTGATCTGGAACACGAGCCCAGCTTTCCCACACTCTGCCCTTACCACTTGTCCTCTCCTGGTCCAGGGCTCCTGTGCCCATGTCCAGTGCCTTGGTGGGGCTGGGCCAAGACACACAGTGAGCCCTCTGGCCACAGGCAGGGTCATTGGAGACCTGCTGCCTGGGTTTGGATCCCAGCTCTACTCCTGGTGAGCTGTGTGACCTTGCACAAGTTACATTACATCCCTGTTTTGCAGTTTATCCCACTGAGAAAATAGGGACAAGAATAGTACGTAACTCATGGAGTTGCTGGAGACCTCCATGAGTCAGTATGTTTCAGGTGCTTAGAATAGTGCTTGGAACATTGGAAGCACAGCCATAAAAGTGTTGTGAAATAAATAAAACCCGCTGGGCGAGAGAGCTCTTTCCTTCACAGCTGGGGCCAGGGAGACGGCTTCGGGATGGTGACCTGTCTTATTCTTACTCCACAGACACGGAGAGATCAAGGCCAATAGCATTCTCATGCAGTTCTCTTCTATTTCCCATAGAACCCTCAAGACCAGCAAGGGGGGCACCTGAGAGCAGAAAGCAGAGTCGCACCCACATCCTGGGCAGGCTGACTCAGTTGCTTGAATCCTGCCTCTAGGGCCAAGGTCACCATTTGATCCTGGTCTGAGCCAGCTTTGTCCTACTGGAGGAAAGCTTGGAACCATGAATCCTGGTTGGTCATCTCCTGCTTGGCTGTTTTGCTCACAATGGGAACCTGGTCTGGAACGATGCACTATCACTCATCGCTCCACCGAAAGATGCGCCCGGTGCACATCCCCAGGACCGTGTTACCCATCATCTTTACACATGGGGCTCAGAATGCACAGAGCGGTATGTGCATGCGGCAACGTGTATACACTGTGTGTGTCTGGGAGGTGCTCTCATCATCTCTGGCCGCATCCTGCAGAGGGTCCTGCAGCCTCTACCTGGCTTCTGGCTCTTTATTTATTTATTTATCTGTTTTAGACGGAGTCTGGCTCTGTCTCCAGGCTAGAGTGCAGTGGAGTGATCTCGGCTCATTGCAACTTCCGCGACCCAGATTCAAGTGATTCTCCCGCTTCAGTCTCCCAAGTAGCTGGGACTATAGGCATGCAGCACTGTCAGCAGTTAATTTGTTTGTATTTTTAGTAGAGATGGGGTTTCTCCATGTTGGCCAAGCTGGTCTTGAACTCCTGACCTCAGGTGATCCCCCGACCTTGGCCTCCCAAAGGGCTGGGATTACAGAGGTGCCTCTTTTAATTGACTCCTCTCTAGGCATCTCTCCTTCCAGCCACAGAGACTGGCCTGATGGTCCCAGGGCCCCAGGTGAAGGCCTCTCTCCTCCCCCACTCAGGTCTGACCAGCTGTTTCCATCCTGGTATAGGCACAAGGTCTCTTGCTGCTGCTGGGCCAGTTTGCTGACCTTCTCAGCTCCTTCTCTTAGACTGGAGAGGCCTGGACGGGTGCCCGAGGGAGGGTCTGGGCTGCTCTCCTGGGCTCCTCCCCTTCCACTCCAGGGCTCTGGCTGGAGCCTCGTCAGGGTCCTTACTGAGTTCTCAGCTAAGCCCCAGCCCTGTGACAGCCTGAGGGGTCTGGTGGGGAAGCCCCAAAGTGAGTGCTCCATAGCCTTCCACTGTCCCTCCCCGAGCTTGGGCAGTGCAAGCAGTCTCTGAAGGTCTTCTGGGTAGCCTTCCTTCCATATGCCCTCTTTTTTTTTCTTTTTTTGAGACGGAGTCTCGCTCTGTGGCCCGGGCTGGAGTGCAGTGGCCAAATCTCAGCTCACTGCAAGCTCCGCCTCCCGGGTTCCCGCCATTCTCCTGCCTCAGCCTCCGGAGTAGCTGGGACTACGGGCGCCCGCCACCTCGCCCGGCTAGTTTTTTGTATTTTTTAGTAGAGACGGGGTTTCACCGTGTTAGCCAGGATGGTCTCGATCTCCTGACCTCGTGATCCGCCCGTCTCGGCCTCCCAAAGTGCTGGGATTACAGGCTTGAGCCACCGTGCCCGGCCCTATGCCCTCTTGCCTACTTTCCCCAGGTGGCCAAGGGACACTAAAAAAGGCAGTGAATGGCTAGAGGGCCACTCTTGAAAGTCAACCTGCCTCCCTACTGGTGCCAGCTCCTCTCCCTCCAGCCTCCTTTTCATAGAATTCTACAAGAGGAAACAGAGAGGTCATCTCCCCACCTTCACCAAGTTTCCAGAAAGGATGGGTTAGAGGGATTTGGCGTTCTCTGAGGCTTCAGGCCAAACCTTGGACATTGGGCTGGCCAGAGATCTTGCTGGGGTTTCCGTGGGAATCGTATATCCATTGGGAGCACTAGCCCTGAACACCTGGGGCTCCCCACCTGCTAGGAGCTGGGAGGACTCTGGTGTTCCCTGTTATCCCCCAGGGTCTATCTAGGTGGATGGAATGGCAGCCCAGGACTGTTCCCCAGGCTGACCCGGACTCTAATGAGAGCCAAGAGTGGACCTAGCTGTCATTTAGATCCCTGAGGGAGCCTTCACAGTAGCTGCTAAGCGGAGGCCCTGGCAGTGGAGAGGGTTCTCACACGTAGGAGAGGCAGTACTTAAGCAAGTAGCAGTGGAAAGGGCACTGGATTTGACGTCAGCAGAGAGGTGGTCTATTTCTGCTTCGCTCACTACTTATCTGTGATCTGAGGCAAGCCTAACCCTGTACAGCTTAGTTTACTCATCTGGAAAGTGTGGTATATTTTATTTTACCTGCCTTACATCTGAGGCATGGAGGGAGGACGAAATGAGATCACCTATTAAAATGCATTTTGAAAAAACAGAAGTGCTATTTATGCAAACACATGGTACTAAAAATAAAAGATGCCTGTTTGCTTCTGGAAGTAAAAGTTGTGAATGAGGCCGGGCGCTGTGGCTCACACCTGTAATCCCAGCACTTTGGGAGGCCAAGGTGGGTGGATCACAAGGTCAAGAGATTGAGACCAACCTGGCCAACATGGTGAAACCCCATCTCTATTAAAAATACCAAAAAAATTAGCTGGGCGTGGTGGCGCACACCTGTAGTCCCAGCTGCTTGGGAGGCTGAGGCCGGAGAATCACTTGAACCTGGGAGGCGGAGATTGCAGTGAGCTGAGATCACGCCATTGCACTCCTGTACTCCAGCCTGGTGACAGAGCGAGACTCTCCATCTCAAAAACAATAATAACAACAAAAAGTTGTGAATGAATTAAGTGATATTTTAATGATACAGGAACCCCATTATTTAAAGAACATTTTGTCTTTTGTGCAGCCACAGAGCCAGTGTTTGATAAGTTTCCAGCAAGCATCACCTATTCTGCTAGATTTTGTGAGGAACATAAAAAAGCAGAAGATACAGGGCCTGGTACAGTGTTGGCATTCAATTAATCACTGGGCAGGGCACAGTGCCTCAGGCCTGTGTTCCCAGCACTTTGGGAGGCTGAGGTGGGTGGATCACCTGAGGCCAGGAGTTCGAGACCAGCCTGGCCAACATGGTCAAACCCCCTCTCTACTAAAAGTACAAAAATTAGCTGGGCATGGTGGCACATGCCGGTAGTCCCAGCTACTCGGGAGGCTGAGGCAGGTAAATCGCTTGAGCCTGGGAGGCGGAGGTTGCAGTGAGCCGAGATCATGCCACTGCACTCCAGCCTGGGCAACAGAGTGAGACTCTGTCTCAAAAAATATATATATTAATAATCATTGAATGAATAAGAGCGAATTTCTTCCATCTGAGAGTTTATAGTCCAGTTTGGAAGGGGAGAGAATGAGTGATGCAGGCTGTACATATAACATGCATTCAGAGGGAGGAGAGGTCTTCAGGGTGTGGGAGGCTTCAGGGAGGAGGCAGGAAAGGAGAAAGCCTCAGCAGAGAGGAAGAACTAGAAAAGAGAATTGGAGGGGCTGACTGGGAAGGAGGGCTAACCCCAACATGGGCTCCCAATCCTAAGTGAGCAGGGAAGTGATGAGTATGGTAGGCAGGGGAGAAGACCACCCTGATGGGAAGAAGTTTGCCTCCTAGTGTGGGGTGGAGTGGGGGCAGAGTAAACGTCCCACTGGGGCTACAGTTGAAGGTTTCTGGAAACCCGGCTTAGTGGAAAATGCCAGGGGGAACCAGTATGGATCCTATGGGGATGGGCTCCCTGTGTACATGACATCATGAAAGCAGTATTTTTAGAAGATGCGTCTGGCATGGGCGTACCCATGGGGACATACCAAGCTTCTTGAAGTTCCCCAAAGTTTCCCTTTTCCAGGCTATTTCCCTGTTTCTGAGAATGCCCCATTCTCCCAAGCCTGTGGAAGGAACACCTGCTGTTTCGCCTTAACTCACGCATCACCTCTTCTGGGAAGCCACTAGCGGTCATTTCCTCCTGGGCACCCCCAGCTGTACCCGGCCTACCACTTTAGTTTTACAACCATTCCTTTTTAGGATACTTCTCAGTTTTCACATCTGGTTCCCCTTTCAGACTGTGAGTCTCTTGAAGCCTGGAATATTTCCTGGTTGTTACTTTTGTCCAGCAACAGGCATGGTGGCCAGAGCCGTGTTTCCACCTATGTTGGTATCACCTGGGGCACCTGGGTCAGGCAAGCATCAGGTGCTGCTGATGTACCTGAAAGTTTAGGAACACTGCAGCCCCACCCCTCTCAGCCTCATAGGACAACATCTACAAAGAGCATATCATGATATAAACAGCGCCCCCTGGAGTTGTACAGCACAGAGACCTCCTGGAGGATCCAGGTCCTCATGGATTTAGTTTTTCTTTTTTTTTTCATTTTATTTTCTTTCTCTCTTTCTCCTTCCTTCCTTCCTTCTCTCCCTCCCTTCTTCCTTCCTTCCTTCGTTCCTTCCTTCCTTCCTTCCTCTCTTTCTTTCTTGGCGTGTCACTCTGTCACTCAGGCTGGAGTACAGTGGCACCATCTGGGCTCTCTGCAACTTCTGCCTTCTGGGTTCAAGTGATTCTCCTGCCTCAGCCTCCCAAGTAGCTGGGATTACAGGCGCCGCCACCATTCCCAGCTAATATTTGTATTTTTTGTAGAGATGGGGTTTTGCCATGTTGGCCAGGCTGGTCTCAAACTCCGCCCACCTCAGCCTGGTCTCAAATGATCCGCCCACCTCAGCCTCCCAAAGTGCTGGGATTACAGGCATGAGCCACTGTGCCCAGCCGGATTTAATTTTTTATGTCTATACCTTCAACATTCTGTACATTACAGGAGTTAAATAACATTTTCTGTAGGAAAATACTATGATTGGAGATCTGGGGGAGGGGAGGTGAAAGAGAGGAAATATATCTTCTTGTGTAATGTAAATAACGAACTTACATTCTGTTATTTATTTATTTATTTATTTATTTATTGAGGTGCAGTCTCGCTCTGTCACCCAGGCTAGAGTGCAGTGGTGTGATCTCGGCC